TAGGTATAGTGATGAGATTAACAATTCATCATGTATATTACAAAGACTATTAACTGATCAACATGTGTTGAAAATGCTTCCCTTGGTTTATTATTCATCATTTAATTTTTTTGGAGTGGTTTTTGCCTGCTAGGATTGCTTGACTCTATTGCCATCAAACAAATGGGCTTTTATTTTATAGTTTCTGCGTTTGATAGCTTGATCACCGGAAGAATATATAAGTAAATATAATGCAAACACATTAAAAACATTCAGACAGCATAGAAGAGTATAAAATAAAGAGTTAACTTATTTTTCATCCTTTGCCTATATCGTGATCCTAAACAGCAAAGGTATCTGATTTTAACCATTTATGGGTTTATTTTTTCTGATTGTTATTCTATGACTCTTAACAATATGCATACATTTTCATTTCTTGACTTAGCAACTCCACATAGCATCTGTTCATTTCCTAGTATGCCAGATGCAGAATTTTAGTTAGCTTCTCCCTTCCTTTCTTTCTCCTTTTTTTCTGCTTAACTTCCACAAGAAATATCAGTTTTGGTTGTGGGCACCTTTATAACTTTAAGTAACATATTAATACTTCAACCTCTATTTCTTGATTTATCAACTTTAGACAGTATGTCTTCACTAAGTGATTCATTCCTAATAGAGGAAATCACATGTAAAAATGGTTATTCTCTAAGTTTCCTGGATCATAAAATGCCGTATTTATGAAGAAATGCTTCACTAGAAGCAGATTTATCTTTAGTCATTTTAATAAAACCAGAGAGATCTCTGTAAGTAGAATGAAAGACATTGATACAAATAAGGGTAGGAATTATATTTATATTTATATAGCATAGGCTATGTAGATTACAGGGCCTTTACAACCGTAATTACTTTATTACTCAGAATAATTCCGTAATGTATATGGAACAACTATTCTCGCATTTTCTAGATCAATAAATTAGCATAGGGAGTTTATGGCCATACAAAATCACGGTAGTGGTCATCTAGGTCAGCAGTCCCCAGACTTTTCGGCACCAGGGAACTGTTTCGTGGAAGACAATTTTTCCATGGATTGGGGGAGGGGATGGCTTCAGGATGCAAGGCATTCTCAGGCATTAGATGCTCATAAGGAGTGTGCAACCTAGATCCCTCACATGCGCAGTTCACAATAGGGTTTGCACTCCTAGGAGAATCTAATGCCGCCCTTGATCTGACAGAGGCGGAGCTCAGGCAGTACTGCTCACTGGCCCACTGCTCACCTCTCGCTGTGTGGCCCAATTCCTAATAGGCCACAGACCAGTGCTGGTCCACGGCCTGGGGGTTGAGGACCCCGATCTAGGTTTTGTTTTGTTGTGTTACTATCCAGCATCTACTTTTCCTTTATCATGGCAGTATTACCTGAGCAATAATTCCACCTTTCTCCAGTCTCAGCTCATGTGCTTCCAACGAAGCTGATTATATACCCTTGAACTCATGGAGCAGGTGACTTAGACCCAAGCCAATAAATGCTGTACCTTTACTGGCCATAGTGATTATTCCAAGATAAACTGCATCAGAATCTATGAAAGGTACTAAAATTTAGTCTGGGAATGGTGGAACAAAAATTCTTGGTCAAATCTCCTGAAGAGACAGCCCTGGGAAATGCTGGCAGCCATCTTGTAACCAGAAGAGGGCGCTAACCATGAAGTTGAGCGAAGAAAGATTCCTGTTCATTTCATTGGATCCTTGACTGAGCCATTTCTATTACTGGTGTTCAGTCACATCAGCTAATACAGATTCCTTTTTTGTTTACCTCAGTTTGGGTTGGTTTCCTGTCAACTGTAGTAATTGCACAGTTAATTAGTGGCAATTTTGACACCAAATCTTCTGACTTTTAACCTAGGCTTCTTTCTACTCTATCATGCTGCCTCTGAAATTAAGGTTTTTGTTCAGGATTCAAAAACACACACCCTTTGAGATCTCTTCCATATATCTTTTGCCTTCCTTCATAGCCTATTAAATAACATTTAGAAATGCAAATGTATCATGTGGAATTCATTTGTGAGGCAGTATGCATACATGTTTGAGCATGACATTCCCTTTATGTTTGAAATAATAGTATGAGTTAGGGACAAGCTAATTTCAAAACTTTTATATTAAATAAAGTTATTTGCATTTTAGCACAAACAATTCTGGATCATTTTAAATCACAGGAGCATGATATAGCACCCACCAGCTGCTGCTACGTACAAGAGTTGTGGCCATCAAATTTAATTATGTTAGGTATCTGAAATTCAGAGCACAGTTAACCCAAGAAACAGTATTATAATTAATCATATGCTTCTTAGATTAGCAAAGAAAAGCTGCTTTAATTTAAAATGTGGCTAAATACTAGAGCACAGTATTGCCACGATACTATTAAAAGTGTAAAAATACTAAAACTAAAAAAGATGGTTCTTAAGCAAGGAGGTTTGCTGGCAGATGAGAAGGTAAATAAAAGTATATGGCTATTTCAGAGGGGCTCTGGGGGCTTGGTCAAGGGTTCTAGTCATCAATAATTGGGTTTCACATCAAAATGGAAAACTTTTTTTCCCATGACACAAGAATAACTTTATCACTGTTCTTAAACTTCAAAACCACACAAAGATGGAAGAAGAAAGGGAAAACACAAAAGAGGTTTCCATTTGTTCTTCTAAGATGCACTTCAAGCACATAGAGTCTGCTTTCAAAAAGTTACTATCTAGAAAAGCAAATACATATGTAAATCCAATGCTGTGCAGGGGTGAAGCAGAAGCTCAGCCTGTGGGCTGGAGGTTCCCAAAGAAGGAGACTGAGGGAACAGTTGAAAGACTTGATTAGGCAAAACTAGAAGCTGAATTGGTGAACCCAAGAGGAGTGAGCTCTGTCCAAAGGCAGCGAGATACCACCCAGAGAGTTGTGTCAGGGTGCTATACAGGGTCTAGTGTGAAGAGAAAGAAAAATGGAGAGACAAATGTTTGAACTTTTAGACTGAAAGTCATAGAAGACCTTTAAATGATATGTAAATATGGCTTTCCTAAGGGAACCAGAAAATGGTTGGCAGAGAGTGTGCGGAGATAAGGCATTGCAAGGAGAGGAAATATCTGTGTAAATAGATGTACAAAGAGAATAGTATGTGTGCTATAAATTAAGTTTAAGAAGAAAATGAGCAAGTGAGAATAAGTGAAGAGAATGTCACATGGAAATGTGCAAAAAGGAGGACATGGTGAGCAGCAGACAGCACTGGTAGACAGCCTGGGCCAGGATATGGCAGCGCTATAGGCCACTCAGTAGAGTGCATGGAAAGAAAGAGCTGGTATTCGAATATGTAAGCTTTGGAAGTGAAATGATTTTACTTAGGATTACCCTTTATTTTACATTGGAGCTCACTGGGATCACTGTACGATACCAGAATTGCCGAAGCTGAGGAGTACAAGATTTCAGCTAGAATGGCAACGTCTCATTCCTAGAAAGGAAGAGCTCTTGCCACGGTGTGAAACACATCTTCTTTAATTAAACATTATGAAGACATGGGTAGAGAGGTAGGAGAGGCACCTGCAATACCAACCATGTATTGACCTGAGGAGATACTACATGGACTATTTCAAATGCTCCCAGGTTGGTGCTCAACAGCATCAACATTTATCCTTAGCGTCTGCATTTTTAATGGAAAACTACTGTGAATGGTGGTCCTGAAACCAGAAAGGCCAAACCTTCCCTGGTTGTGTCGGCATGATTCTTTCCCAAGCTCATTTGCACTTTAGTGGTTTTGCTTCGCTTGGCCTTTTCCAACTTGGCAGCTCAGGAAGTAAAAATGAGGAACTCAGCAGATTTTTAAAGAGTTTTACTCCAAATGTTCTTTTAATGCTAGTATTTCTTGGACAGGGATTTCTGATGTCCTAATTAATTGTTCTTGGTGTTTCTTTAAAAGCATCCTTTAGCATTTGTGAATCTGCCCATGGCTTTTGCTCTTAATTTGCACTCGCTGATATTTTCATTTAAAGCAGGAAAGACACTTCTCCGTGGCCAGGTGAAATGTAAGTATATTTGGAGACACACTTGAAAGTTGTTGAATTCACTGACAACTTTGGGGCAGCAGCCTTAAGAAATGTCAACTGGCAAAAAGAAAGAAGAAAAAAAAGAGTAGTGCTGCTCTGTCATTTCCTACTCCCCTCTGTGAGATCTGACTTTTAACAATCTTTTGTTACTTCACAATACATTTTCAACTGCATTCGAAGTAATTAACACCCAGAATAGAATCTTTTTGTCACATTTAATTATCAGACACCGACTTTCTTTTGGGATATCTGACAGTTACCCAAAATGTTGGTCTTAATCTAAAACCAGGAAGAGACCTCTGGCATAGTGAAAGCCACTGAAGTGGCATTTATTAAAGATAAATGGTAAGTGTCTAAAGAGGAGGTAAGGAAAGAGCACTGGCTCTCATCCCCCCACCCTAAAATCCTTCAAGCACAAAGGGAAATTGCACTGGTGCTGAGCCGAAGCTCCATCAGTTTCATCTGTCATGTGATTTTTTAAAGATGTATGCATTCCTATACAGCATTACTTTTGCATTGAGAAATAAAGAGTATTCTGACCCTTACATTCTGGCTCCAATCTGCCAATCTGCCCATCAATACAAAGGTTTCTATTAGTCTATTATCTGGAAAGTGACTTATATAAGGCAAAAAATTAAATGATATTGATTTGAAATGAAAAAAGCTCATTTATGTGCATTTTAGGAACCTTAAGTGAATCAGCTAAATATATGCATTGAGTAAAATAAGTTACCCTCTAGGTAGTATCTTGTAATAAGCTGGAAACATAAAACCCATTAATAGTATTAGAAATTAGATGCCTAATGAATTGTGCCCATTATGGAGATTTTCTGTGATAACAATTCCTTGAAAAAAGCCAGAGACTGCCTGTAACCCTATGACATAAGAGAAAAGATACAAGTGAAAGTACATTTCACATGGTTAAAGAAACATAGGCCAAGTTCTGGTACTTACTATGTAAGGACTATGGCCACTGCGTCATTCAACACACTCTCTCCAAACAAGAGTGTGTACAGGTCAAGGTCGACGTGCAGTTCATGGAAAATGGCCAGCACTGTCACTAGGAAGACACACACAAACATGCAGGTTAGCTGAGATGCAGGCATGGAGTTTTCCTTGGCTATGGTCGCTGCTCAAAAACATTAATTAAATGCTTACCTTCTCAAACCCAATGACTTTACTAACACCAGACCTTTATTCAAAAAAAATACCTGATGCTTAGAGGCTTGTCTTGGCTCCCCACTGCTTAAAGACAAAATTGGAGCTCCCAAGTACAAGTCTCCTATAATCTGCATCTTGCTTACCCTCTAGCCTCATCTCCCTCTGCCCCCTTTGCCCACCCTTTGCTGCCTTTCTCAAGTCACACTGAAATTGCCATAATTTCCCAAACACACTGTATAGTTTCTTAACTACCTTTGCATTTTGATTCCTTCTACTATGGCAGCAATTCCCTTCTCGTCCACTTGCTACCATCCTCCTATTCCTTAAACACACACACACACACACACACACACACACACATACTTCTTGCTACCGAAGACTCATTTTTTTTTCCATTCTTTAAGAACCTTTCAAGCGTCCCCTCCCAACCCTTCAACTGCCTCATCAGAGACCTGACTCACTCCTTTCTGGATCCCAGCATTTGGATCAAATCACTGAACTTACCACAGAAAGGACTGGGAGCTCCCTGGAAATGGGGTTCATCTTTGGACACATGGTATTAGGCCATACTCAGTAACTGCTTGATGCATGAATGACTAAATGAATGAGTGAATGAATAAATGAAGTTGTTGCAATGGCCCACTCCTGTGAAGGGAGGCATGGTTCCACTTGGGTCTCATTCTGTCCGGAGATCACGCTCACCTATAAAGACGGACTCAGTGTTCTTAAGAACAGGACATGAGGATTTGCTTCTGGTTGCCTGCTGCATGGCCTGCTACTATATGTCATGTTCTTGTATTGAGCCTCTGTGAGTACATTAGGGCAGTCAGTAATCACATGCTGATTATCTGTGTTCATCAAAACTATTCAATATCTTGATATTTAAAACAGTTAAGCAGAGTGTGAACAGCAATCATTAGGAAAATGATCCATTGAATTAATTGCCAAGGGGGAAAGAGATAGGTTGAAAATGATACTGATGGCAAATGTTTAAGGCAGAGTGGGTATTTTTAATTCTGTTTTTTCCTATTTCATGGATGGTGAGGTTAGTAACTGTGTTGTACAAAATAGTGCTACGAGGGAATAAAAGCAAGAAAGTCAAGTTGACTTTGAAGGTTTTATAGGTAGGATTAAGAAGTTTGGAACTTGTTCTTTCATAATAGAGAGTGATTAAGAGTTTTAATAAGAGAAATGACACAATCTGAACCTTGGAAATAAAGCTCAGGCAGAAGGGCAGAGGGCAGAATGGACACATGGCTGGAGGCTTTCCCAGTAATTCCAGTAAGAGATGAGTTGTACCAGGACAGGAAGAGGCCCGGATCCATGCTCCCAAACTCTTACATCTTCATTGTCTTGGGTTCTAATAGACCAATGACCACTGTGCTTTGTACTTCACAAATGTACCTCACTGGTTTTCATCTTCTCTGTGTGCCACAAGCCCTTAGCACAGTGATGCAACATAGTAAGCCTTTAATGAGTGAATGAATAAGAGATACCATCAAGGAACATACAGCAGAGGTGACAGCACCCCAGAGATATTTGAGATGGAAAATTGGTGGGTGTTGGTGCTTGAGAGGCAGCAAGGAATGACTCTGGATTTTGATCTATCGTACAACATGTGACTATATTTAATAGCAATGTATTGTACACTTGAAAATTGCTAAGAGAGCAGATTTTAAGTGTTCTCAGTACAATGACAAAAGCATGTGAGCTAATACATACGTTAATCAGCCTGATTTAGCTATTCTGCAAGATATGCATATTCCAAAAAATTCTGCTGTATACCATAATATATACAATTTTTGTCAATTAAAAAGTTTTTTTTTAAAGAAGCCACTGCAAAATCCAAAAAAAAAGAAAGAAAATGCCATGAATTGACATGACAATTGGCCAGATCCAATTTTATCAGGCATAGAATCAATTTTATTATTCTAGTTGAATAGGTCCTATTAATCATGATAGGTAAAATGGCAGAGATCTTACTAGCTTTCTACTAGCATGAAGCTGTTAACATTTGCCACAACCTTTAGATGTTGCAGGTGGTGGGAGGGAGGAAGCAAACACTTCTGCTAAGTAATCTCTTTCTCCTTTTTGGATAGAGGTAAGACACTGCATCTACCCAAAACAAAAAGGTTATAGTGGGATTTGGTTAGCAACATTTTCCTTTTGCTAGGATTTTGTGGAATAAAAGTAACTTTTTAAAACTAGAACATTCTATCGTGGCCTCTCCATTGTTAACTTTAGTCTCTGTAGCTGTTCATTTGTATCATCAAGCTCTGAAAAGGACTTGCAGCCCATCTCCACTTCCATGGAGGTTTCCTAGGCCCACGAAAAGGAGGGTAAGGCCCTTACCCCACCTCCCCACTTACGGAGCCCCTCTGCCCTGTGGGGAAGACTCTACATCTGTCTAACGAAAGCTTTGAGCTTTGAAGAGGAAAGGCTTTTAATTGAATATCCAGTTTTGTTCACCACTGCTCTGACATTCCCACAATTCCTTTTGAACAAAGAACTGAACTCCATTTCATAAACGATGTCCCACACACAAGAGAAAACTGTTACTTTGCACATTCTTGTCTACCCTGTGAAGAAATGGAATAGTTTTGAAATAAAGCTAGGCAGTGTGTCCTACAAGAGGGAGTATTTGGCTGGGAACACAAAGAGTCGAATAGGTGAGTCAGGAAATTAGTCACCCACTCTGCTGCTGAGCTTGGAGCTTTAAAAAAAACTCATATAATTAGCTCCCTGGCAGGGCTCAGTCTTACATGCAATGTCCAAGACTCTCTGCAGCACCTCTCCAGGAGAGAATCTTTGGGACAGCCGTGGACATGCACATAGCAGCTCTGCCCACACCTTGCTAGGTTGGTAAGGATAACCTAGGTCCAAGGCAGGACTAAAAGTCAACGCCCATGTAAGTGAGAATTCTTGGGACCACAAGAGGAAAACACTCTGGACATCGTGTGGATAGGAAGGGGAAAAGATGCAATCCAATTTCTTAAACTTTTGATTTTATCAGACAATTTGGTCATTTCTGTCTTTATCTTACTTTAGTTCCACTCATCTTTTAGTGGCAGATTCTCATGCTTCACTTGTGGCTTGGAGTTCCTTCTCCTCTACACACCCTCTTCCTACCTGATGTTGTAGCGAGAGAAAAATTCACTTTGTCTTTCAAACTGATAATAAAAGATACAAGCACATATAATCTTATGCTCAAGTAGATGAACATGCACACACACACACACACACACACACACACACACACACACACACCCCTACCTCTAGGTAAGCATAGTAGAGGAATGTGATAACTGAGAAATACTACTGAATCCCTGGAGATCGCTGAGAAAATAATTTCAGTTATCAAATGGTAAAGGTCTTTGAGGGGAACGAGTGAGGAGCCAGTGGTGTGGACTGCACTCTGAGAAGCTTTTGATAAAGGATGAAGAGAGAAAAATCCATAACCTATGAGGTCTAAGTGAGGCTTTCTCTTAGACATCTAATTTATAGGTTGACAAGAATAAGCCAGAGGAAAGAGAGGTTGAAGACAGAGAAAAAGGATGAGAAAACTGCTGGAGCAAGGTCTGGAGAAGGCAGAAGAAAACTGAAAGGCAGATGGGGAATGCATCTTTTCAGGAAAGTAAGATCATCTGCTGAGAGTCAGGAGAGAAACACATGAGTTAGAGGCTAAAGGAGGGTTGAAAATGTGCAGAATATCTTGGAGGCAGATAATGCAAGTTTCATGAAACACTGTTAGGGTCAAACACAGGATAATTTTCAATCTGTAAGAGAAAAGTGTAGCACTAAAATGATGCAATATTTTGATTTCTTCATCATACCAAGGGTCTTTTCCCCTACTACAACTCTATTATAGCATCAAAACTCATCCTTTTTCATCTCAAAGATGATAACCACACCACCTAGTGATAAAAATACAGAGAGTGACTACATGACTCCATGAGTATCTCAATGTATTTACTCTAAGATGTTTTACAATTTTTTTAAACTGCTGTCTTTTCAACTGACCACTTTCTTGATGCCCTTTCAGAACTTCCAAGTCTTTAGGGTGATTTAGTGACAGACCCTTCCCTAGAATCTCCATTAGCAGCTCTGTGACCCCTATTTTCTAAGTGTTTTATAAGGAATTTAAATTTCAAATGATATTTTAATGTGGCAGCTCTCAGCAACCTAGCACAAGATCTGCCTGGGTCGAAGAACAAGAACATGGAATAGTTCCTACCCCTGTCCTCCTAAGTTGTCATTCAGCCTTGTCAGAATGCTGGCTCTCCCTTGGAGATTGCTCTCTATGGTTTTCTGTGCAAATCAGTATGTATGACACTTGTCCATGACACATAGAAAATCAAAAACATCTGAAGCTTTTGCAGCTGAATCGGTGTCAGGCCTGACAGGTGTAGAACCTTGGTATTCTCATAAACGAGGTAGCATTTTTCCATTTCCAAAAAATGATTATTGTGAAAATGTATTTTCTTTTTCTAAGAAGGAGCATGGAGGAGGACATTCTCCTGTAACTTTTCCTACTTTCCCGAAATACTGTATACAGTGAAATCTGAAGGAGAGGCTTTCAAAAAAGTTGTGGTATCTGGGTGCAGGCTGAAATATGGGAATTATTTTGAGAACTATTAAATTCTCAGCAAAGATTCAGCAGCAAAATTGATGCCTGGATTGATTTTGCCAGTCAAGTTTTGCCAATCGTAATCCTAGAATACAAGTGAAAAGACTAACCCTTCTGAGTAGGAGAAACAATACCAGATTACAAAGCTAATGACTAGTCGTTCAATTTATTGAGGTCATTCTAAATTTTAAGTTACACAAAACTTCATGAAGAATATAGCCCTAAAACTTTGCAATTTTATTTTAAACATCAATATGCTATATCATTTTGGT